TGTGAGTGTGAGTGTGAGTGTGAGTGTGAGTGTGAGTGTGAGTGTGAGTGTGAGTGTGAGTGTGAGTGTGAGTGTGAGTGTGAGTGTGTGAGAGGAGGGGGTATATTTCTGTGATGGGGAAGGCTGAGGACCACCGCTGGACGGTGCGCCACCCAGGGGTGTTTTTGGCGAGGGGATTGGTGTCGGAGGGTGGTGACCGGTTGTTCACACGAAGGAAACCTCAAAGCTGAATCCAGAGCACGTTGCAATGTGGCGACCCCGCCGGCCAGGCGCGGTCCAGGACCAGGCCTGGCAGGGGCAGGGAGCGCGCGTCTCCACGCCAGCGCTGATGTCATCCACTGGCGCTCCGCGCTGAGGCACGTCCAGGGAAACAAGGGGGAGGCAGCTTCAGTTTTCTTAAGTTCACAGACTGTCCAAGACCTCAGTCCAGCTTAAAGAATTAAATTAGATTTTGATTTTTATTACTTTAACACTCTATGAAAAAAAAATCGTAAAAGGAGAGCATCTTGTTAACGGTAAAAGTTAAGCATTAACTTTGACTTTGTGGAACTGCTGCAGCTACAGGAGTTGCTCAACAAGAGCAGTACACACCAGCTGTGAGTGGAGCGAGTGCTTGTTTACTTCTTGGATAGCATGGAGGCTGATCTCCTCACACCTCATATTCCATGCGTAGGTGAAAGGCAGAGAGATTTTGAAATAAAGCATTTGCTTCTTATACATCTGTACCTTTAACAGTCCCTTAGAAAGCGATCTTTTACCCGAGGAGTGGTTCATGCTAGCCACTGGTGCTAAAAATAACACAAAAATCCCTGTCTGTAAGTTGTAAAATGTAATGGAAGGCTTCGGTGTGAAAGTTCAGCAGTAGTGTAATGAGTATGGACAGCCCCCCGGAGGAGGTCTCTCTCGGGAATCTGAACAGCCAGGCTGCGCAGAGAATCCCTTTTTATTAAGAGCACACAGTCCGATGTGGTGTAATGATTTACAGAAACCACGGCAGTGCTTGTGTGTAGATAACTGTCAGATTATTAGTGAATGTTAAGTTCCCACGTAGCGATAGTAATGGGTGGGAGCCTGTAGTGCCAAGTCGGACCTGATGGTGCGGTGTGGGAATTCTGGGATCGCCTGATCCCGTTCTGCAGTGGCTGGAGGTGAAGAGGCTGGGAATCCCACTGCCGTTTGCCAGCAGGCAGGGAGTTCACACCCCTTCCCCATTTCAGTACCTGCTTGTGAAAAGCCAGGGAAATACGGGAGGTCTGTCAGGAGACAGTCGTTTGTTTCACTGACAAGCACTTCAGCCAGGAAGCATAAAATCAAACATACAGAACTGCATTGGTTAGGGATCTGCATAGTGGGTTGAAAATGAGTTCACAATAAGTCAATATGGAAGTGTCGGGAGATAAATACTGCTGCACGTCTTCATTTTTTTTTATACAGCCCTATGAAGAAGCTGTATTTTCAGCTGTATGAGCAATACTGGAGAATTACATTCAGTCCTGTTCTAAAGGAGTGTTTTGAATGAATGACCAGTACTGTTTTGTTTTCTGTCTCTGAGTGCATCGACACAGTGTGAAAGCGCAAACACTATTGGAAGTCCTCAGTCCATGGGTGAGGGACCTCCTCCACAGCCCTGTGGGACAAGAAACAATAAGCTTGTCTGCTGTACGAGACCCAAGGCGCAGTGGAATTAAATCATTTAAGTTTGATTAGTACCAGATCGTTTAGGTACTACGAAGAAAGCAAGAAAGAAATGCTCAAACAGTAACTGATATGGTTTATTCAATGTATTAGGTATATTCTATCTAGATAATGTGTCATGTGTTGAGCAAATATTATGTACCATTGTTGTAAATCAAGGTGTTTTTTTATTTTTAAAACTGGTCTTAAAAATGCAGCCTAATTTCAATGATACTGAACTGAAAATATAAGTATATGAAATATTGTACTGTGTGCCTTTTGGCCTCACTAGTATGCAGGATACTTTCTTTTTTAAAAATAAGCATTACAGAAAATGCATGCATTTGAATTAAGAACTGGTTAATGGACAGGAAACAGATTACAGATAAGGAGTGAATGAATTGCTGTAATTAGCGGAGTACCTCAAAGATCTATGTTAGGATTCTTCGTGCTTTTCTAACGTGCAGAAGGCTGTAGGACCTGAACCTCTTGAGTGTTGAACAAAAAAGATCACAGAGCAGCCGATGCCAACTTTCAGGATCCTTCCTGGTGTTGGAGAAGTGGACCTCTCCGACTGCAGGAGGGCTCCTGAGCTGGTCAGTCTCAGTTTCCCTGCATCTTGACTGAAGAGGTTTGAAACTCTAAATGTCCGAATGAATGGTCTGGGAGAGGGGGGGTTTAATCCCATTGCCGTTCGCTCTTGGCTCAGTGCGAGGCTGTTTACCGGAGGCGTGACACTGTAGTCCTTCCCAGAGCGGCAGGGACGTTCTCACCGAAGTGAGTCAACGGCCTGCTTTGTTATTCTTAGAAAAGGGCTGTGACAGGGCTTGCCTGGACAGGCCTCTCTCTGGCAGAGCAGTGACGGGGCATTCGTTTTCAAATCAAGAACATTGCGTAACAGTGCAGAACGCTTGTTCCTGTTTGTGGTATTAAAGTCTAAATTTGACAACACCTGAAATCCCGAGTCTGATTCACAGTATGTTAAAGTTCAGCATCGTGCACTGACAGGTGGTGGTGAAGATCTAGAATTTGAATACAAAGCTTTGTGAACAGTTCTGTCTCCCATTTTACCATCTGAAGTTAGCAGTACCTGTTTATCTAGTTCATCAGCAGTACTCCTTACTCACAGGATTCTTTCCCTTCCAATGAGGTCTAGTTTTGTTGAATCACAATACACAAAAGTTAATATTTTTAATCAAAATGTGAAATCTCTTATGGAACACCTTTTAACTTATTGCACCCTTACATATGAGCAAAAACTGCAAAGAAAGCTCCAGAAAGTAAATTGTTGATTGCTTATGTATTCATTTTATTTGCTATAGCTAACCAAATTTAGTTGAGGTGCACGACATTGCTGTGACACGTCACACAAGATCACACTAGAATCTGGAAGGTCAACTGCTACCATCAGGCCACCTGTGAGTCTGAAAGCTCCAGAGGTCGAGGCTTGAGGTGGGTTAAAATGTCCGTAAATCAGTGGAATTAACCCCCACCTGTTCCAGTGCCCCTCGGTGTTACAGCTCTCAACTCGCTTCTTATCAAGTCTCTTGTCTCCTTACGACCGCAAAGAGAACTTGGGAGACATTTCGTTTGAATGTTTTTTTTTCCCCAAGTAAAATTGCGCAACAATAAGAGTAACAGCTGAGATGAAACTCTTACATGCCCGTGAGAAAAGGTTCTTGCAGTTTCCTCTTGGCGCTGCTTCTTGGGGACGTCTTGGCTGGTGTTTGTAGGGAGGCTGGATACTGTAAGTAAGTGAAATTGATGTCCCAGCGCTACAGAACACCATGGGGTTTGTATCTCTAACCCATCGCCATACTCCTTGTGCAGGCCATGGGCGGTGAGCTTGTTGGTGCAGAATTGTCGGATTTTAACAGCTGTTTTTTTTTTTTGGTTTTGTTTCAGATTGTCCCAGAACACCAGACACCCCCAACAGTGAAGTGCGCACATCAACCAACAGCAGCAGACTAGCGGCGCTGAAGAAGCAGAATGACATCGAGCTGAAAGTGAAACAGGGGGCCGAGAACATGATACTGATGTATTCCAATGGGTCTTCAAAGGTAACTCTCAGAAATGTCACTCTGCAGATTACTGGAATCAATTTGCAGGGCTAATGGCGCACCTGTTGTGCTGAGATGCACTTCTGTGGGTTAAATACTGATTATGATGTTTGAGAAAGAGTTTGTGTCCAGTCTACAACAGGAGAAAGTTGGCCATGATCTCTATACTGTATACACAGATATGAGATGAGAATTGTTTTGTGTATTGTGCTGCTACTTCCTCAGTTTACTTTCACCTATGTTAGTATTTCCAGAATAGTTTCGTTATGACAATCAGCTGAGACTGATTTTCATGACAGACTTGGCGAGACCGCAAAGCATTCATAATATCTGTTCAAATGAGCCATCGAATAATTACAACACTGATGGCCAGTATGAACATTTACAAACAAACCATGATACTTTGTCCAGAACAGTTAAGGCAAATGTGAAACAGCAAATTGCAATGTTTCCAAAAGACTGTAGCCCTGAAACTATTTTTAACCCTTGGGAATCTTAAAAACAAAATTCTTTGATCCGACAACAGACCAATCAAAATGAAAACAGATGCTGAAGGAAACAGTATATGCAGCATGAAAAGTCAGACTTGAACGTGTCCTAAGGTTTTTAGGCTGTTTTCAGAGGCATTTTCTACAGGATCTGTAAGCTGGGAAGACTCCATCAGTATAGACAGTGGAGTTACTGTGTTAAGTCGCGGACTGTTGCAGTATTGTTTGTATTTGCTTCTGGCTGTAAATAGCATTCTGCTGTGCTTGACGTGGCTGGTGTTGTCTGTGTCTCTCATCCCAGTGGACGCAGTCATGGTATTCTCAGCAAGTGGGAGATCACAGGGTGCCTCTCGCGACAGAGGCACAGGGCTCCGCTCAGCCCCCCTCTCTCCTCTCTCCTCTCTCCTCTCTCCTCTCTCCTCTCTCCTGTGCTCTCTGTCCCTGCGTGTGTGTGTTGTGATTGTTACTCACGGGGATAAAGCCATCGCCTCAGACATTATCTAATGAGTTAGGCTTCTTTCTTGAGAATGGAGGGGCTTCCTTTGAGACAGCCAAAATGCAGAAATTTGGATTCGTTTTTCTACGGCAGCAGTTCATTGGAGTCTTCATACTGAGAATTTAACCCCCAATCCATTTAATTCATAGATCTAAAACTTCTGAGCTAATATTTGGTTAAGTCCCCTGCTTTCAGTCTTGTTGTAAGACAGGAAGTAGGTGGGGTGTAATCTGTACATCATACAGTACATTGTGACTTTCAGGGCAGTCTAGTTGAACTTGTGGAAAGCTTTCCTGGAACATTTTCAAAGAAACGTTGATGCTTCCAGATAAGTGCACACGTGACCTCTCTGCAGCCCAAGTGTGTGGCGACTGCCTGTTGAGCTAGAGAACAATACAGTCATGCCTGTTCTTCTTGTTACGTCAGATTACATTATCATGTTGTGTCATTTTTACGAGCATTGTAAATGAAATCATTTATGGAAAAACAGACTAAATTTGGGTGTTTTCTGATTGTCCATCAGAGTGGCAGTTCTCACTGTAATGCAGGAGGGCACATAGAGCTGTGATTGTTCTGTCCAGTCCTTTGACGCTGTGGTAACATTTCTTTTAGTTTCTAACAGTCTTTTTATTCATAGTAGTTGAGTATTAAGAATACTTTAGGTCTGAAGTATTCTTATTTGCACTAAACAAATGAAGTACGGTATGGTCCAGTCCAGACCTGACTTTTAGCTTCTCTGGAAAACCACAGCTGTAGCCACACTAGTACCACTGGGCAAAAAATAATCTCCTCTTCCTGCTCATATTTCCTGGTTTGTGGGACCTGTTGTAAAAGCTAAGCTACTTAAACAGCACATTGTAATTAAGATGATATGGATTTATTCTGCTTCTCAAGCATTTCCTTCATTTGATTTAGAACTCCGGTCGCACTTGGAAAAGATTTGAACTTGCATAGTACTTTATGGTTTCAGTAAACAAGCTTATTATATATCTGATGCCTGCAGTGAAAGCACCCGAGTGTTTCACTAGTGCAGTCCCAGTGTATGACCTCACTCAAGAGTACAGCAGTCCCCTACACAACCTGCCCGATACCAGTCCAGAGACCAGCAAGATTTTCTGCACAAGCACGTTGTCAGCAGCTGGCTCCTGTTTCCCTTTTCCGCTTGTTCTGGGGAAGTGCAGTCGGTTACATCTGGAGAGTCCTTCTGTTTAAAACAACGCGTCCTTTCAGTTGTTTAAATATTGCTTTTTCGTTAACGTTTGCTTTTTTTTTCTGCAGGACCGTAAACTGCTTGCGACCGCTCAGCAGATGCTCCAAGACAGTAAGACTAAGATAGAGTTCATCAGGATGCAGATTCTCAAGGCCAGCCAGACCAGCGAAGTGAACTTCGAGAACAGCGACGGCCTTGGTGAGTCAGCTCTCCTGGGGCGCTCATGTCAGGAAGCGAGTCTTTCGGCTGAAGCCCAGGTTGAATTAACACGGGAGCAGAGACTGTTGCTCCTCCCAGCCTCGATCCCTCTTGGCGTGTTTGGTGCTCCGGGAGCTGTGCTGGGACTGCGATTGTCCCCGTGAGACCAGGGATGTGCCAGTGCGGGCAAATTCTCGCCTTGATGAATCTGTGCTCTGCGGGTTTTAAAGGGCAAACAGCAGTGATCTTGCAAGATGGCTTCCCAGCCAGCATTCCTGTGGGACTGTACCGCACGCTCGTCTCGCCATCCCGGGAAGTTCAGGCAGTGGGCGCTTGAGGGCCGGCGTCTGTGAAGCTCGGCCGCAGGCCAGCCCTCCTGTCGCCGGGCTGTGAAGTCGGGGCTCCGCCTGCGAGCTCGGTGCCGCCGGTCGGGGGGCGCAGTGTAGAGGGTGTGCCGCTGGGCCGGGGGGGGAGGAGGAGGAGCGGTGCAGTTGAGGAAGAGCGCGGTTTAACGGGCCGCCCCGCTGTCCCCGCAGCCAAGCCCATCATCAGCCCGCTGGAGCTGCGGCTGGAGGAGCTGCGGCACCACCTGCGGATCGAGCACGCCGTGGCGGAGGGCGCCAAGAACGTCATGAGGCTGCTGGGCTCCGGCAAGCTCACGGAGAGGAAGGCCCACTCCGAGGTAACCGGCCGGCCACCGTCCCCCAAAAAAACAAGTTGATAAGGCACGGCGCGTGCGTTGAAATAAAAAAAAACGTACCTCTCCTTTTGCGTTTCCTTTCGATCCAGGCACAGGCGAGGTTTAACGAGTCAAGCCAGAAGCTGGATCTGTTAAAGTACTCGCTGGAGCAGAGGCTGAACGAGCTCCCGAAGAACCACCCCAAGAGCAGCCTCATAATGGAGGAACTGTCTTTGGTTGCATCTCCTGCGCTAAGTCCACGACAGAGTATCATTTCCACACAAAACCAGTACAGCACAGTGGCTAAACCTGCTGCTTTGACAGGTATAGACACCTCACGCCTGCAGCTGCAGTGTCATTTAAACAGAACAGAAGGTAGAAATTGGTCTATCGGAGACAGAAATGGGATTTTCCTGAAAATTATTCATGGTTTTGCTAGTACAATCTCTTCATCCCAGTCTTACATTAACATTTTTTTATACATTGTCTGATGAAAATGAGAAACCAGCCCAAGAAGGGATTTGAATCTGTGTGTGTGAGCAGTGTCAGCTTGCATCCAGTATCCTGTACCGTATCGCTGCCAAGCCTGCACACAGGGCAATTAGTTATTTCTGACGCGTTTAGGAACCTATACCTCACTGTGTTTAAAAATACTGTGAACAGCTGCCCAGAAAACACAAAAGAAGCCGCTGTGAACTTGCACTTCCTTGAATTATGGAGTCCCCAGTTCCCAGTGCAGCACAGCCTTCGCTCTGCCCTTTGAAAAGGTCAGGCCTAATGGTCATCGTGCCCAAGTGCCTGGCGTCTGCTTGCAGGGAAGCGTGCCTAGAGGCTAATTCCAGCCTTCCTCTGTGCGCCCCTGCCCCGGGGAAGGCCTCTCTCTGACCGGGCTGGTTCTCCTGCAGGTACGCTGGACGTCAGGCTGATGGGCTGCCAGGACCTGCTGGAGGTGGTTCCTGGCCGGTCCAAGGCCTCGTCTGTTCCCCTGCCCGGCTGGAGCCCCAGTGAGAACAGGTCCTCTTTCATGAGCAGAGGAAGCAAAAACAAGGGGGGGAGCAGTCGCAACCTCTCCAAGACCGACGACCTGTCCAGTTGAGTAGCTGTTTTTCCGGGTTTGCTTTCCCGTTCGGCAGAGTAGTCAGATTCCAGCCCCGCGTCGCCTCAGCTGGTGGGGAGCAGCTGGGCCTCTTGAGAAGGTTAGGAAAGGGGAAGAGTTAGGGGACCAGTCTTCACGTGACGTCAGTGTTGGCAAAGGAGGGACGGGCCCCTTTCTTCCTGAAGCTGACAGGCAGAAGTGCAGAGCGGCTCTGGGATGGGCTGGTTACTGCCGAGGTGAGAATGTTCTGAAAGTTCAAATCGTCATCTCTGTCCATGTACAGCTACTTTCTCTCCTTTAAACATTTTAAGGCCTTGAAAATGTTACTTACAAAATGGGATTTTCTTCTCCCAGTCTTGATTGGGATCGTTTTCCTGTTCGTCTTAAGAAGCACCACTTAGAAGCTCTTAGCGGCGAGCGGAGAGATGTTATGCAATGTGCAGACTTTTGAACAGTGAAATGTTTTGTTTAAGCAGCCAAATCTTCTTAGAGAGTTCAGCTGAGTGGTGGCGATTTCTTAACAGATGAGATCAGTGCGGTGCTGAAGCTGGACAACACGGTGGTCGGGCAGACCAGCTGGAAACCGATCAGCAACCAGGCCTGGGACCAGAAGTTCACCCTGGAGCTGGACCGGGTGGGTCAGCTGTGCTGTACTGGCGGGAGACTAGGCCGCCAGCCCCGTGAATTAAGTGTGCAAATGTTAATCCGGGATTTGCTTGTCGTGAGGAGACGATCTGACTGAACTGCAAGTGAAAAGCAGCCATATGGAGCTGGAAGGCAAATGGATTAAAAACAGTACTTCATTTTCCTTGTGCCACCACTCTCTGTCTGCAGCAGTAGTGGAATTGCCATTAAAACTATACAGTATTCGCTTGTTCTTGTCAGAGGATTTCTTATCTTTCATGCATGAACAGTGCGCTGGGCCTTCAATATATAACAACAATCTTTTGCTTTTGTTTTCATTTTTTCATATTACTAGTTAGTTGACATCTTACACTGGAGCAGAAAGAGGAGAAGAATCACGGATTGGTGAAATTCACCAGTGATTAATATGAAGTTCTGAATTTCCTTTACTGTGAAATGTCTAAGAGCACTAACATTTCCTCCTCACAGTGTTTTTCTCCCTGTAAGTTCCCTAAAGATGTCTTTCCAGCAGTGTGTACAAAGCCTCAAACAGCTTGATCGACTCTGTCCTGGGCACCACAGATTTGACAGAGGAGGCTATAGGCTATGTCTGCTTAGCAGTGTGATTGCAGCAGTCCTGAGCTGGGAATTGCCCACTGCATAATAATAATTACTTTATTAAATAGCAGCACCTCAGCACTTTTTTTCTGTCTTGTCCTGAAACTTGAAAAAAAGGAACACAAAAAATGCAAACCTCGGGACTCTCTTTATCCCAGAGGGTTATTTTTTATACTTGGGCTTTGATAATGCCAAAACATTTTGCAAAACTGAATCTGTGCACTGTTGAGCCAGCATGCTGAACCAGTTTCTGTCCATGTGAGGAAGGAAGACGATGATGGATCTGCTTGTACTGGTCTTGTCCCCGCAGTCCCGCGAGCTGGAGATCTCTGTGTACTGGAGGGACTGGCGCTCCCTGTGCGCGGTCAAGTTCCTGCGGCTGGAGGATTTCCTGGACAACCAGCGACATGGCATGTGCCTGTACCTGGAGCCCCAGGGCACTCTCTTTGCTGAGGTGCTGGCCGTTTGCTCTGCCTGTGGTCTGACAATCTGTTCCAATAGGTTCCCTGTCTGATTCCACCCCACCTAATGCTCTGAATTCTTCTCTCACCTGCACTTCACCAGGTTACATTCTTCAACCCTGTTATAGAGAGGCGGCCCAAGCTTCAGAGGCAAAAGAAGATATTTTCAAAGCAGCAAGGTAAATATTCCTTCTTGTGTTGCTTTCGAATAATTTTAGTTTCTGTGTGTGGTAGTTTTTTTTTTCCTTCACTGTAAAGCAGTCAGTAAGAGTGACTGAGCGAGTAATCCATCAGTCAGTTGAATATTGGCAATGCATATTGAAATCACTAATTTCTGCAATGCGGAGAAGTCTGTTGTGTATTAGAGATGCTTTGAAATGTTTGAAGAAGTTTCCATCGTGCTGAATATTATGTATCAGAATCTTTGTTTCCAGGTAGTGTTCCTGTTCTGTACAGTCTTCATCATTCTGGGCTGGGTGCTGTGCATTGCTTTCTGCAGCTGTTCTTATTCACTCCCAGGAAAAACCTTTCCGCGAGCGCCCCAGATGAACATTAACATCGCCACATGGGGGCGTCTGATGAGGAGAGCGATTCCCTCGGTCAACAACTCCAGTGCCTTCAGCCCGCAGGTGTCAGAGCTGTCCTCCGAGTCCCCATCCACCACCCAGCCCAGCTCCCCCACCTCCCCCAGGTACTGGAATACTGCACGAGCGCAGCCCCAAACACAGTCCTTCACCCAGTCATGATGGTGAAAGGAATAACAGCATTATCTCCCAAAAATTGGTGGAAATTAAGCACTCTTTTATAATTTGACTTATATATAATCATACAATAGTCAAATTGCTTTTATTGTTCTAAACATTTTTTTGCACTCATGTAATGAAATTGAGAATAGGTCATTAGTTTTCTGCACTTGTTTTGAGTTAGATGTGGAATTGTGGTTGCAAATTACACATTTTTCTTATCGGTTTTTCAGCATGCACTAAATATACTGATGGTCCAAAGAAACCCATCACTATGCATGTATGTTTTTGAAAAATCTTTACAGATGTTGGATATTGGTTATTATTTTGATTAATTGATCATTCATGTCTGACCATGGAACAAGTAAAGGTTTGTTTTTCTCTTCTTCTCTTTCTGGCCTGGAATAAACCTTTACTTGTTCCTTTGCAGCCTTCGCATGCTGACGCAGCTCCCTGCTTGAATGTCTGACCCCGATGTGCTTGTTCTGATGCTCAGTGTAGGAGCTAGGCCTGTTTGACCTGCTCTGTTGCTCTAATTCACTTCGCTCTGTCTGCAGTGATCAGACAGTGATGAAGTTAGACTTCGACAGAGAGCCCACACCGACTCCGAAGCTCCAGTCCACAGCGGTGGAGACAAGAGAGCCCCTGCCGGAGAGCAAGATTCCTGACCGGCAGGTGCAGGTAATCCCTCTGATTTCTGATCAGGAGATCCCGGCGTGTCCTGGTGCCTTGAATAGGAGGCTTGTTTGTAAGAGCCGTAAGGCTCCACAGCGACTGACCGTAACGCAGGGGGACGCCTGCGAGTGACCCGTAACGCAAGGGGACGCCTGTTACGGCTGCGTACGGTAGTTGTTATTCATTGAAAGAAGTTGCAGTATTTCTTAAATATAACTGGATCCTTTTTCATGAGAGCGAAATATCATTTTAAGCTCTTTAACAAAAAAGTTCACCGTAATCCTTCCTTTCCTGCTGTAAGCTTTTTCCTCTTACCTTGGAGGTGCTTATTTTGCAGGATGCGTTAGCGACTTTTGACTTCCTGAACGACAGGAATAGCATCGTAGTGAAGCCCGACTCCGAGGGCCTGGAGGAGCATGAGGTTCGGCAGCCGGACCTGGAGCTTATAACAGACCCATCCACAGACGTCAGGTACTCCCGCCGGCCCGCCCGCTCTCCAGTGTGCCAGGGAGAGAGCTGCTGTAGCTTAAACCTCATGAGCCCTCTGCTGGGTTTACATCCCATCAGCTCTCATATTCAATTGTATAACATCAGTAGTCAGTAGTTACCTCACTGGTTGTTTGTTAATGATGTATAATTGTCTCACTGCACAGGCTTAGTAAAAATCTTCCTCAACTCCCTGTTTTTACATTTTCTAGGGGGCAGCAGCAGTTTCATTCTGGACTCTCAGACTTCAAATGTGTTGCTGTCCTGGGCCGCGGGCATTTTGGAAAGGTGAGCAAATCCTCCAGTAATTCTGGTCTTTAAGCAGGTGTCCTGGTATGAGACACAAGTCATGAGTAATAATTCTGTAGTTCATTTCCACGACCACGTTCTTAAAAAAAATGAATAAAAAGATACAACTGTAAATGTCTTTTCCTTGGTAGCGTTTAAAATCTTTTATTATATTGTAAGAGAGCTGTGCTGTTTCGCTCGGTCTCCTTCAGAGTGTAGATGCAGAGACCTGATCAGATCAGCAGCTCTCATGGTTTCAGGCCCCAGTGATGCAGCTTGTCTCCCTTTCGTAGGTGCTGCTCGCCGAGTACAAAAACACAGGGGAGATGTTTGCCATCAAAGCCTTAAAAAAAGGAGACATAGTGGCGCGCGATGAGGTGGACAGGTGAGGCGCCCTGGTTGCTTGTCTTGGGTCTCGTTCAGGGAAGGAGTGTGATCCATTCGGCAATCATGCACATGATCCCAGAGCCCTGTTAGAATGAGAGCTCAGCCCTGCCCTTGTATCCTCTCTCTACTGCTTCCCTTCTAAGTGTAGCGCTCGCAGAACGGTGATGTCAGACTTTTTTTGAATAATATTATGCAAATGTGAGACAACAGACCCTTTTGAGCAGCTTGAGGAAATGTGGAGTGAGTCTTGTTTTGAATTTGCGGGATGGCTGTGGATCTGTTTGGAAGCAGAGGGGCAGTAAGGGGGCAGAAAGGGGCAGTGCGGGCCTGCGGCCCTGGTTGGGCCCCTGTGTGCTCACCTGTGTCTCGTCTGCCCTCAGCCTCATGTGTGAGAAGCGGATCTTCGAGACTGTGAACAGCGTACGGCACCCGTTCCTGGTGAACCTCTTCGCCTGCTTCCAGACCAAAGAGCACGTGTGCTTTGTGATGGAGTACGCCGCGGGCGGAGACCTGATGATGCACATTCACGCCGACGTGTTCTCTGAGCCCCGCGCTGTGTAGGTGACGCTGGTCTGCACACACTCTGCGTGGCGCTGGGGGGCGCCGGGCTGCCTGGGTGGGGGCTCTCCCGCTGGGGAGGAAAGGGGTCACCTGCTACATGTAAAGCACTTTGGCATTAAAATCACTTTACAAATTCAGTAGTTTATTATTGTTATAGATTGTTGTTGTTGTTATCTTGTAAAATGTGTTTTAATTACGTGGCATCTCTTGTTGAACAGGTTTTATGCTGCCTGTGTGGTCCTGGGATTACAGTTTTTGCACGACCATAAGATAGTGTACAGGTAAGATGAACTACCTCTGCTGTCCTGTAGCCGTTCGGACAGCGGCTTGGCCCAGCCTAGGGCTCCGTCTTTCCTTTAGGTTTTGCTGATAACTGTTCTTTTGAGCAGCTTAATAATCTTATTAAAAGTTAGAACCCAAATGCACAGAAGAACAAACACTTCATGTATTGAACAACCTCATGTTTCTGGATTACTTTTTATTGGTACAGAACTCTAATCTTGACCACAGCTGGAGATGTATTTTTATAGCCATTCTGCCACCAGCAACATGTGAATAGCTTGTTTGTTAACAGTTATAAATGGATTTTTAATCTGATGTGTTCCTGACGAGATCCCTTTTGGTTTCTGCTTGTGGCCCCAAGTCCTTATTTTACTGCTAAATCTGAACCGTCTGTCCTGGGCCGACCCTGTCATCAGCATTTAGCATTTTATAGACTTGGTTGAAATCTCCTCTCAATCTGCTTACAGGTTAAAGGCCTGAGCTACAATCCCCTGAGAGCAGGAATCATTGCTGCTCTTCTTTGAACTGAGGCTGTAATGTCCATTTTGTGGTCTGGTGACCGAAACTGAGCACAGTATTTCAGTGGTGTCATGCTAGTGTGTTGTGAGGCTTGAACATAACTTCCCTGGATTTGCCTTGTGCGACGTACTCAGCCATTTCATTTGGCTTGTTACTGCTCCCTCGGCTTGTCTTGACGAGGACCTGGGCGAATCGCCATGAGCACCCAGATTGCTTTGTGTAGATCTGTCCACACGTCTCCGCGTGAAATATCACACCAAGTGTCGCCGTGCTGTTGTTTTGTTAGTAAAGTCCTGAGCCACTCCTTCTTCACTACTCAGTGTGTTTTTATATTGAACAGGGTGGCAGTCTGGACTCAGGTATAGCTTGGAAAAAGCTCCTCAGACTGGTCCTTATGGTACACCAATGCTTGCATAGACCTATCTAGAGATGATGGCCCCTAAGATGACCCAGTCTTTCCAATCTAACCAGTTTTCAATCCACACTCATGTTTATTTGGTAGTTTTTGAGAATTCTTTTTTTTTTGTTTTCTCAGAATTGGGGGAAAAAAGTCAGATGCCTTTGAGGAAACTGCCATATTTCCTGTTTTTTAACTGTTCTTTTAGTTTAGCTGAATCGTTTCCATTGCGTTCCCAGTAACAGAAGACCGGGTTTGGTCTGTAGTTTCCTGGATCAGTTTGCCTGCAGTTTTATGAATCGGTGTTCAGTTCCCACAGTCTGTGGTTACAGTCTGCTCCTCAGCTGAAATGACCTCGTTGTGTGTCTAGGAATACTGTGCCTCATTTCCTTCAGCACAGCGGAGAAAATATCAGGCCTCTGCAGTTCATGAATTCTAGGAATTCTGGTCCCAGTTATTCCCCTGTGTTGGTTATGCTAAAATGTGTTCTGTAACCTGGGGATTGTTATAACAATTATAAAAAAACTGAAATATTAATTCAGCACATGGTCTCTGTCATCTACTATTAGCCCCATTTTATCTTGGAAACTCCTTCAGTCTTTACAGTTTTTATTGGAAAAAGTATTGAAAAATGGTTTGGCCTTATTTTTAGCCTCTGCAGTGCTTTTCTGTCTCTATTAATTTCTCCATGAATCCGTTTAGGCTGTATTTTCTCGTTTTAGAGAGAAATTATTTGCGGGCCTTTATCGCTTTGTATCCAGAGTATCTAGTTGAACAGTTGCTCTGATTATCGTCTCTGAATTGCATTTTCAGAGATCTGAAGCTTGATAATTTGCTGCTGGACACAGAGGGCTATGTGAAGATTGCTGACTTTGGCCTTTGTAAAGAAGGTATGTAATGGAAAGTAAAAGTTGCCTTCAAAGCTCATTACGTTTCCTGTGTGAACACAGTTGACTTTTTCTCTGCCTTGCTAGGGATGGGCTTCAGAGACCGGACCAGCACGTTCTGCGGCACGCCGGAGTTCCTGGCTCCAGAGGTTCTGACCGAAACCTCGTACACGCGGGCCGTGGACTGGTGGGGGCTGGGGGTGCTCATCTTCGAGATGCTGGTGGGCGAGGTGGGTGTCCTCCCGCTGGCTTGCGGTGCGGCGAGTACAGCGAAGTGACCGGGATGCGTGCGCGCAAGGAAGTCTCTGCTTCAGCAGGGGGCTGTTAATAAAGGCTGTGAGGAGCCGGGGACGTAGACCAGGAGTAGGTTTTGGCAGGATGTGGCTGCTGGGGAATTCCTAGCCATCTGTGAGGGTCCCTGGGTGAGAGGGGGTGAGGCAGGGCGCTGTAATTTAAATCCCACAGGCATGTGTGAGGCCATAAAGCATCAGGGTATTGAGAAGGGAGCAGAGCCATGGCCTTGAATTGAGTTTCAGGCAGGGTGAGCCGTTTGCTACTCTGCGACTTCAGTCCGTCCTCGTGCATGACAGAAACCCTTCCTGTCGTCGAGTACTGGTGCCCACGGACCTTTTCACTCCTTTTCTGCACAATATCGTCAACTGCTGTATGATTCTGTGAAGTTCTTTGTAGCGAACTGTTGTATAGGATGTCTTTCTCTGTAATAGGTGTGGAATAGGTGTATGCTTGGTTGGTTCTGGAATCATCTGGGCATGTGTGATTTGTGAAGTGGGCATATTCCTGGTTTTAACATGTGAATGCTTATGGATTCTGTCTGTATGATTTTTCTTCAATGTGTGTTACTCATCTCCCCGTCTCCGTAGTCTCCATTCCCTGGCGATGATGAAGAAGAGGTGTTTGACAGTATCGTTAACGATGAAGTCCGCTATCCTCGGTTCCTGTCCACAGAGGCCATCTCCATCATGAGACGGGTGAGTGTTCGGGGCTCGTCAGCACGGACTTTCCCCGATTAACATCCTCTTCCCTCCTGCTGTCGGCAGGCAGGTAATACCCCCTCAGCTGAAGCAGAAGGTTCTGCTGAAATGAGTCGCGTTCCGGACCGTGATGGTTTCCTGCTCGGCCCTGTTGAGAGCCGTGTGTGTGGGCTGTGAAGGTGATTCCCTCTCTCCCTGTCCCTGTCCCCAGCTCCTGAGGAGGAACCCCGAGCGGCGCCTCGGGGCTGGAGAGCGAGACGCCGAGGAAGTGAAGAAGCATCCCTTCTTCCGGGTGCGTTCCCACGCCGTTCCCGACAGAACCGCCGGAGCCGGCCGGCCGCCCTGCCCCGGGACAGCCGGGCCGCACAGAGCTTCTTCCCCCAGGCTCGGGAGGGGGGGAGTAGGGGAGTGAGCTCCGGCCTGTAGCGTGCCGGCTGCCCTTCCTCACTGCGGCTCTGTCTCCTCTGTCGGCAGATCGTCGACTGGACCGCGCTGCTGGCGAAGAAGGCGAGGCCCCCCTTCGTCCCGACCATCAGGGGCCGCGAGGACGTCAGCAACTTCGACGACGAGTTCACCTCGGAGGCGCCGGTCCTCACTCCGCCCCGGGAGCCCCGGGTCCTCACGGCGGAGGAGCAGGAGATGTTCCGGGATTTCGACTACATAGCCGACTGGTGTTAGCCCGGGGCCTGTCCCCCCGAGAGAGGCCGCCGCTCACTGCGCCACGCAGACCAGAGGTCCTCCAGCCTTCCCCTGCGCTCTGTGCCATTCAAGGACCCACGATCTTAAATGAAGATTTTTTTATTTTTGGTTTTATTAATATAAGGAGCTGCCATTTCAAAACTGAGAGAAGTGGCTTCGAACTGCTCTGGTCCACTTTGTTGTCTGAGCACTGGGAATGTTTTGATGGACTCGTGTTCCTGAAACCGCAAGCCCAAATCTCCGTAGGCCGATACCTTGGGATTGGTACTGCACCAGCGAGTTTTCCATCCCCGAGATTTTATTTTTTTAAACTTTTTCAACATTCTGCCTTAGATAAAAGTGTCATGGCAACCATTTCAATCTTTTTGAGGCCACAACGTGCCAGGTTTCGACGCCGAGATGCGTTAAATGCAGAAACACAAGCGTGGTCTAACCAAATTAAAAGGCAGCGACTGTCTTGACTACTTTTTAACCTGCAGCTTCGCCAGAAGTGTGCACGAGAAGGGGTTTTAATCTCAGATTTTATTCAGAACACTAATATTTTTACCCTGCCTTGTCCTTGTATTTATTATGTCTGTTTCCTAGATGCCTTAATTTTTTGTGAGTCATCAGTAAAGGGCTTCCAGTCGACAGCTGACAGTGAAATCCTCCCCAGCCAGCTGCCACACGTTGGCCGTCCCCAGACTCTGTGAATGTGAACTGACAGCTGTGATGTGGGCCGAGAAGACCCCTCTGCAGAATCTCTACAAACCACCTCATCCTTGTGAAACCGGTCTGACATGCTCGTGACATTCTGCTCCTCTGCGGTTTTCAGATTCATGTCTTTCCATCATCCCACCTTCTCTGTACCATGATCAGTGAACAAATGTAAGTTATAGTTTTATACTGTATTTTAGTACGTCAGCGAATCTTGCATCTGCTGTATAGGGTGACCATGTTTTTTTTATATATATTATATATAGATAATATTGATATTATCAACTTGTTGAAAAGTAGCTCAGAAATTGAAAGCAATTCTGGACGCCTGAAATGGAATGTAAAAATGTATATTCATAAATGTATATCTTGGCGTACAACATGCCAAAGCAGGCTGTATTTTAAATTGGTGGTGCTTTCCTAGTATGGTGCCTAGTCTGGGCTGTGTTCAAGGCAGCAGTCCGGTCGTTGTGCTTGTGTTGGAATGGGTCTTTGGTGGCAGTAATTCTGTTGGAACAGGGAACCTGTCGGCACCTTTCATTCAGATACTGTGGGGCTTGGCTGTCTCCAAATGATAACTTGACACACGCAGTCTCTGTGCCACAAGTTTTAACATTTAAAGCTTCCTACAGAAGACAGTGCATGAGAGACGCAAGGACTGGGCGGCAGTGAAGACCGTCTGTGGAGATAGCAGGGTGTTTGATGGTAAACAGATCCAAGCCACTAATGGCCACAGTGCTCATTACCAAAACCTTTCAAAGCAATGCGTTTGAGATGCAGCCTGACATGAACTTTCAGTGTTTCAATTCAGTGGCACCTGCAAAAGGTGGGGAACATGTTAGAAACAGATGGGGTTTACTTAGCTCAGCTAACAAAGTTGTACAGTAAATAAATGTTTTTAAATATAAATCACTAAGGGGTAAACTAAGAGGGCAGGATTTATGTACACAATTGAGCTGAAAGCACTAATTTTATCTATGTAGGTTTAAAATTATCAACTTTTTATCCTAATTATGAACATGGTTTGTAAATACGTTTTCTATATATTGTATTTTCAAAGTGGCTGCTTGAAAGCATGTTGAGGAAGGATTGATGCTTCAGTCTGGTCCACAGCGTGGGAGACGTGCAAGTGCTCACAGCTGTGACCTGGTGGAAAATGTTTTTGCGGTCACTATGCATATCATGAATGCACAAATTAAAAATTTGTAATAGAAAACCTGCTTGCTTATTTTCTTTCCTTCTTTAAAGGGATGGTAAACTCATTTTGCGGACAGTCGTGTGGATAAAGTGGGATATCGATGTTCCTTAATAAATATGATTTCAGTTGAGCCGAGTATCAAAAGCATGAATTTAATAGCCCGAGAGCAGTAATGAGGCTCATCGTGTAACTGTGAGATCAATAATGTTGCAGGGTGATACTGATGGTAATAATGAAATGGTCCTGTTACACCAGTGTAACTTGTGTTTAGGTATTCTTCAAAAAGGAAATGTTTCGAGCACGATCATGAATGTTTGGAAGAAGAAAATCCTTTCAACCAGTTTGCTGTGGATTTATTTAGAAGGTATGTATTCAAACCAAATGAAAAACCTGAGCAGTTTTAGTCCTATTCATGTTAATTCAGGTTCTGTTATCTTATTTAAAATGTCTGTCAAATGTGGACAATGAAATACAAATCTGCATACAGGCTTGATCCATCCCATATAGTTTTTAGAAAAATGTCATTGTGCTGCCAACATCACTTTGCATGTCAGAATTTTTCACCTTGTCCAATATTGCATTCCAGCACAGTAATCCACCCTGCTATTTTGTTTTGGATGGTCAAAACATTTTAACTTTAATAGGAAAATCAAGTCCGTCACTGGATAAGACCTCATTTGGGGTTTGTATCTATTCATCAGGTCCTATCAAAATAATCCCAGATGTCTGGCGAGTTGTAAATCTACATCTTTAAAAAGCATTTGATGGAGAACGGTAACGCCTGATCCCCAATTCCAAATAAGTTCATGGTGACTTTCTATTGATGTTCTACTGCCTTCTTCCAGCCTACACTCAGATGGCTATCATGTTAAAATAAGGCTCTGCAGCATGAATATCTCAGTACCAGAGCCAGGTTTCTGAGCATCCAGTGAATAATGGGGATCTTCGAAAAGGTTAAGATCTGTCTCCTCTTGGAACACTGCAGGAACATGAATGCTTTAACATTTCAAGTTAGACAAAGAGGTGTTCCTGAAGGACCAGTGGGAGGCTTTAGTTAGGATGTCTACTCAGCTTGCTGTTTAAACAAACAGCCACAAATTAAGAGTGCCAATAGAAAATCGCATCAGTAAGGAGGAGGGCGAAAGGGGAGCTTAGCGTTCAGCTGTTTACAATTTTGCCAGGAACAGAAGGCAAGCAGAACCAGCCTTAACTCAGGGACACGGCTGATCCACAGCAGATCAAATGCAAATAAGTGACATTTCGTTTCTAACTTAATGAACAAAAACCATTGCCGAAGCACAACAAGACCCAAACTTCCCCTCGTGCTGCTTACCCATCAGACTGAAAGGTTTCTCGCTTTCAGCGACAGTGCTCATGTTTGGAAAGTTCTTTCATCCACGTCAAGGCAGCGAAAGAGCACTCTTGCTTTCAGGCAAATTGCCTGAATGAGCCCTACTGCTTTAAGATGAAAGAGTGCTTCCTGTTATGTAGCTGTTGGAATGAGTGATAAAGCTGTATTTACAGCAGCCTGCTCAACAAGTCCCACCAGCCACCAAGTTTTGTATTTTAAATGGCACCTGCTTCACAAACAAGGATTAACTCCTATTGAGAGAGAGCAGGTCATTGATGCTTACGGTCTAAAGAAAGGAAATCTTATAAAAAAACATTAAAAATCTGTAGACCTCCAAATTTAGCACAAAAAAATTGAATTAATGCACTTATGTTCCATCTCACAGGCTGCAATTAATAAGAACTAACTTACAAACAGGTTTGGTTCACAATTAACATCCAGGCAGCATAACTGATCATGATGAATCCACCTCAATAAGGGGGGAGTGTCAAAGTTCTTCACCCATAAAACAAAACTCACTGTTTTGAAGATCTTGTCAATTTGGAGAACTGGCTAGAAAAGAGAAACGCCACTTCAATGTAGCCATTTAAAAGGTTCTGGGGTTTATGTGGAGTCGGGCAGAAAAGTCAGGCTGTATGAAAAGCAGAAAGGTGCTCAGTCAGACCTTCACAATGTGAGCAAAGCGAAATGGGAAACTGCTCTCCTGAGGAACGCAGTGTCATGTACCTGGTCTGATGGAACACTAAGGGAAGTCTTGGCAAACCCCTGCGTGTACCATAGCCACAATCGTGATGCAGTAAAAGTGAAGTAATTCTTTCAGTTTTGAAAGCAGCTGATTCACAGAATATTCCATTTCAGTGGCACTTTATAGCTCCTTCTGCCACTGTGGGGTGGCACCCAGGCAATGGACTACTACCCAGTAGCAGTATCACCTGTTCACAGCACAGGGCTGAAATGAAATTTCTTCAGAAACTGTATCAACATGATAATGGAATTTTAATTTACTAAGTATATTGCCTACAACTGACAAAATAGAACTTGCTTATTTCCTACAAAAGAAAGTGTAAATACAGTATGAAATCAGTGTTATTGCAACCAAATATGTAAATACACGTTTCACATGGACATCATATATACAGTATATATACACATAAATGAAAAACTAGGCAAGTACAGTCAGCTTTTTTCAAAGCTTTGGAATGTCTCCTGTACTCCATCATGTACCAACATTTTTCTTTTTACAAAAGTTCCCGCTCTTAAACAGCAAAAAAAAAAATCCCAAGTTTTATTCCTTATAAATTTGATTTAGTAAAAAAAAAAACCCTAAAAGCACAAGGGCGGCGCAGGTCGGTTTACAGCTGGGGCAGTTTGTCGACGGGGGTGTCAAACTTGAAGTCGGGGGGAAAGAGGTCGGCAGCGCGGGGGTAGATGAGCCTGTAGGACTGCCTGATCGTGACGTCGGCCACTCCTGCGATGTCTCCGATTTCTGAAAGGCATACGGTGAGAAGCCGATTAAGCAATGCTGCAATTAATGAGATCTAAATATATGTGCTCCTTGACAAACGGCGACGAAGCACAGCTTCACGAAGGCTACAAAGGGTTCCTGCCTCCGTTCCAAATGGAGATCTTCGGGAGTGAAATTCTAAAAAGGCGAGACACAAAGCTCTGAACACAAAGCTCTCCAAGAGCCTCACATCTTTCAAGGTCTCTCAACCCCTCCGAGAAGCCACGCCACATGTTTAAGGGGGAAATGCAAGTTAAAGCAATAGACCAGTCCGGGTTACTTGGGCTCTGGACTGTGAAATGCACCCCCACGAAGCAGCAACAGAGTGGACCGCAGGGCGGGTCTTGCCTTTCTGGGTCTTCTTTTCCGCGGAGGCCTGGGAGGCCATGTAAATCGCCGCGGCTGCCACGGAGATGGGGCTCCTGCCCGGCACCAGGTCCAGCTCCACAGCCTTCCGGGCGATGTAGGTGGCGGCGATCTGCACCTGCTTGGGCAGCCCCAGGTTGGAGCAGAACCTGGACATGAAGTCCCCCGTGGTGATCAGATCAACGCTGGTCTCCAGGGCCTTCAGGATCAGCTTGAAACACCGGCCGATTTCTTTTTTGGAAATTCTGGACACCGCGCAGATTTCTAGGAGGACACGGGAAAGGAAAGAAGAGTTTCGCGAAGCAGAAAGTCACTTGCATATAGTTTAGAGTTTAGTTGCTCGGATTTTATAGAGCGTACATGTATTGAGCACGAAACCAAAGTATAACCACAACAGGACAATAGCTGGATTGACTTGCTTCTGGACTGTAAGAAACTGAAATGATCTCCGAACCCCTGCCAACATCCCAAGGGAAATAGACTGGGAAAGGATTTAAGGAAGTTTTGATTCTGATCTGGACAGAAACAGCAGATGATCAGAAAATCAGTTAAGTGACAGAACACAAAGGGAGGAGTGTAGCCTTAGACTGCAGCTGTTTTCAAGTCAAAGTGATTGTAGCAACATGCTTGTAATTCTGTTACTCTAGCAAAAACATTCATCAAACGGGATTTATAATATTATTCAGCTACTAACCTAAAGGGGCATAACCTCCTTTAGTTACACTACAATTAAAAAACAATGAGAGCTATCACTTGAAATTAATGTAGCCTGCATCCTGCTAACCCACACTGCCTTGAACACAAGTCTGGCAGTAGGATGCAGTGAACAGTGACAAGGGTTATCTAAGATTCTGCAGAACTCTGAAGAATAACCCACAAAACAATCTGCCTACCTTTAAATGTTCGAGGAACTCCTTCTTGTCTGCAGGCGATATACAGGCAAGCAGAAGCGATTGCATCATTACTTCTTCCCTTCAGGCTTTTCTGCTCGTACACTTGCTTAAATAAGTTATTTGTTCGGTCCTGGGAATTGGAGATGAAACATTTAATTAACCTTAGGCCTTTAACTTAGTGCCTCCATTAAAAATGCCAGCACTTGTTACATAATGCTTAGCAAAACAAACACAAAACGATGGGAGCCATCGCGCACTCACGATGATGTTCCTGGGAAGGTTGATTCTGTCTGCCATGTTGGTGATTTCTTTGAACGCATTCAGCATGGCCCGGTCCGAGCTGGACATGGTTCTCCGGTTCTGGTATTTCGAGTTGCCAAACTCGTCGAAGCTTGCTGCCCCAGTGCCCTTCAATCAAACAGTTCGCAATTACAAACACTGCAGTGCTCCTCATAGCGATGCAATGCGCAGTACAAATAATGAGGACATCAGCAGAATCAGGAGAGCAGATGGCAAACTGAGGACATCACAACAAGATCACTCTTAAAATAAACCAGATGGAGCTCCACTCCCAAGCTCTGCTCTCCTGTCCCTTTTCTTTTACTGTCCTCACTCCCAGGAGAAACAAGAGCCGTGGGATTCGTCTGCTGAAACATTTTCCTATCTTCACGAGGGTCAGAACAAATGGGTGCAGACTTCTGCACAGGTCAGGTATGAGATCCATGATTTTACCTTGCTGATCATTGTGGTCAGGTCTCCTCCATTGAGCAGAGGGTTCTGGGCGTCTCCAACTCGCGACGGGTCTTTGGCAGCTTTGTCATTGCTGAACGTCCTCCATTCTGATCCTACATCGATAACTCTGTCACCTATTGCAAGAGGGGTGGGGACAAAACCACACAGTCACACACAAGCAAGGCCAAGACCCTAGCATTTTTAAAACTGCTGGAGCCACAGTTCTCAGCCTTCAGCCTAGTGAACAGAAGAATGAAAAACACTACATCTGCAATAACACGGATTCTCCCTAACATGTCCCAACTAATCTTATTCAGTTTTGCTCAGCAGATGCTTGGAAACCAAACAGCCTCGGATCCACAGTGCCGATTACCGGCCTGCTATGGAATGCAGGACATTACAATGCTCCTTGGAAAAGCCGACACTCTCACTGGGGGCATATGACGTTATTCCTCATTTTGTATGGAGCAAGTGGGAAGTTCTGTAAGTTTCCAATTTTAAACTATGACTCACTTCCATGTGAAAAAAAGTGCCACTTTTAGGCTGGAATCCAGGCCTCTGCTGGGGATGTTATACCTTACTCTGACTGGGGCCAGGGCACACAAACAAGGCAGCCCCAGGACTTCAGAGAGCCAAAGGCTTCTTACTGATGTGCAAGAGATGCAGAATCTTGATGTGTGTGAAACACTGCCTCACATCCCCACAGCTGTCACAAAAAGAATGCCTACTCATTCCCCTTACCACAGACAATTTTATTACGGAGTAATAGTTTAAAAAACACTCATCCATCCTAGCAAGAGGTGGTTAAGATGTTACAGTGAATTAATCAATTCGGGAAGACGTGTGCCAATAAATACAGCCATGAAAGACAAATCCCACAACAGCCAGTCCAAAACTGCTGTTAGATTTAAAAGAAACTACGTTAAGTTTTACGGACAGATCTTGACATTTCGGAAATACTGCCTGTTAACTAGACCACAGGCCACTGTTAATAGGGTGCAAGGATCCTTTCTTACTTTTTGGGAACCACCCCAAAATAAAATAAAAAATTACAATAAACTAGTTTAATGCCACACAATGTTTCTGCGAGCTCTGTATGGATCAGACAGCCATTTGACAATGGTAAATACCAAAAGGTTTAGACAGCCGTGCTTTAAATTACAAGAGGGGGACTGATCCAAGAATTTATAATCCTCAACAGCACAGAGAATTGACACAAAGCAGGAAACAAGTAAAAAATATGTGGAAGCACATTTAAAACTGTGAACAGAAGGTACTTCTATACACGAAGGTCTATGGAACAAATAGCCCAGCCTTGTTTTTGAAGGCGATGCCCTGGCTTCTTTCATGAAAGGTCTGGATGAGATCTTTGGATTAATTTGCTCGACAGGCACCTTGGCCTGTTCCCGTTTATAACCTGTCTGACTTTAAGAGCGCTGCCGGTATTAAAGAGGTATGAGGCAGACTGATGTAGGTCAGCATAGAAGGACACAAAGATACATCTGATGAGGCTTGGAATAAAACCGAGAAGATATCATACTGTCGGTTCACAAAAAAAGCGCTTTCAAGCGTTACAGAAATCAATCATTACATGATTTACTTTAAGACACCAACACCACACTGACTGTATAAAACCATAACCAAATGTTTTGGACCATTATATCAGTTTCAAAGAACCACTAATTAACGTGCTGAACCTCTATCAGATCTTTCAGAATTGATCATTTGTTGAGTAAAAAAAGACTACCATATTACTGCACATTCTTAAAACATTTATGCTACACAAAACATTCAGCTTACTAGAGTGAGCCATCAGTTATGTCAACACTCAGAGAGAAATGCTACATACTGCACCCCAGCCTTGATGTCGGCACAGAAATCAATAAATCATTACAGCTAAAGAGTACAGGGGTCAGGGAATTAAAAAACTAAACTGCTTGCAGTCTGCATTGATTCAGCAGAGATGGATCAGAAATTTCCTCCAATGCCAATTTTTTTAAATTATTCTTTTATGTTTTAATGGGAACTGCATTGCTAGACGTTCTGCAGCTCTAGTTCTCAAACCACAACCCACTGTTTTTCTAAGAAAGGGAATTGAGAATTAACTGGTCATGTTCTTCTTTGTTCCAGTATTTAAGTCTGAACAGTGCTGGTAATCTGTTTACTTTGTTAAAAGAACAAAAAAGTGTGCTCAGCTCTCATTATTTTAGGATTATTTTGTCACCTATCAACTTCCTCATTAGACCAAAAATGAGCCTGAAAAAGTGCTAAACATCCTCTGTTGCTAAAGTAGTCTCAAACATCAAGACAAGATGGTTTGTGGTGACCTTACATTTTAAAACATTAACCCAATCTTATGGCAGAGGAACAGGACATGTCAAATTTAATCTCGTGTAAACAAGATGCTAATCTTAATTCCAAACAAGGACCTGAAACACGGACAGGACAAAACATCCTGCTTTCCACATTTGCGAAAAGAACGAATTCATTTTTGAGGGTCTACTACCACCTAGTGGCTAACTTAGATAACTGCAGCGTTCACCTACAATCGTCATTGTACACAATGAAATTGTTTTGGATTGGCCTTCGGGTGAAATCTTGCCCGTCTCTAGACAGAAGCAGCAACATTTTTATCTATATCCCAGAGACGTTTAATGATAATGGTGATAACTTTTTACTGACTAAATGCCTTGAAAATTGCAAAACAATAATGAGCAAATGTAAACAACAAACATCACAGAGTGACCTCATGAATCCTACACCTCGAGCCAGCCGTTCTCATGTCCATCAGTAAAATGCGCTTGGACTGACTTCGGTACAATTCATATCTTGTACCGTATATCCGTGCTACCTTCGCCACACTGCTTGAAAACAGGACTCCCTGTGTACTCGGTACAGCCTGAACGTCTCAGATGCCCACTGGCTCCCACTGTCCCTACCACACTAAGGCATCCATCCCTCTGAATCGTTGCTCTGTTTTTCAGTCCCTCTTTATTACACTGCCAGGGGTCCAGCCAGTGATCAGACCAGCACGGGATCTGGGATGACAGGATGTGTCCCATGAGGTGTGAACTCCTGCAAACGGGCAGGTCCTGCACCCCTAACTTCGAGCCAGCAGGGACTGAAGGCCTTCCCTCCAGGGGAATATTTACCCTTAAATGCTTCCGATATAAAAAATCCATGCAATACTGCATCTCTTCCACTGTGCTATATTCCATTCCAGGTTGTAACCTCTCAGCAGCCTCTTTTTTCTCAAGCTGTTTAGTGCTTACTGTCATTTGAACAAAAATATTTGTTTTAAAACTTGGGCAAGGTCCAGCAGAGGGCTGCCTCCCACACCAAGCACTGCACAGCGCCTTTAGGACTCACTCAAAAAGGATCATTTTAAAATAGAATTTTGTTAATGGCCACAACATAGGTGCTGGCCAGCCTAAGTACAGTATCATTTAAACTTGCAGTTGTAGTGAAAGGTGGTCAAGTGTAAACTAAATGAACATCTCAGTAACATCCATGATTCCAGTTCCACATTTCCTGTGCGGACATGCGGAGTGTGAATGGGATGTTATTCTGCACAATCACAGGTGTGTAAACTGTGACCCCAACAGCCTCATCATTCCCGAGTTTCTTAAGACAGATGGCCAGAGGAGCACTATGGTATTTTATACAGATTCCATGAAACACGCATCACAATACCAAACAAACACTGTTCAATCTTTAAAAAAAAATCCTTTATTTGAGCAACTTTCACAATTCTTCTGAACACATCCATCACGTGAAGCGTTTAAGGAACAAAAGTGCAATAACTGACAGGAAGCCTAAATTCAAAAGGGGGATAAAAGACCGAAAAAATAACTGCTCTCTCTCCCAGGTGCAGGAGTACAGTCTGTTGTGTGTTGCGTTACATCAGGAGAGAGGGGACACATTCCTGGCTTTGTCGCGGAAGCATGGAAGTGCGAGGGCGGCGGCAGGACCCCCCCCAGCGGCTCGTGCGCCGTCGCCGTGCGCCGCACACTGTCCTTGGCATCGCTCGACCACTCACTGCCATGTGGCAGAAAGACGCAGAGGGCAGGAACCAAATCCACTTATGCAAACATTTTGCAGACTCCACAACCTCACAGCTTTCAACAGTCGCTGGTATCTCAACTCCTATTACTCTGCAGAACAATGTCACTCCTTGTCGCCAACGATTAACGTTCTTCTCTGCAATCCGCAAGAGGGGACAGAGGGCACACAGAGCTGTGGAACGACTGTAAGAACTAGAGAAGAGTTCATTTCGGTGTGTAGCAAGTTAAATACGGAAAGACCAGATTATGAACCTGAAGCACATAGAAATTTCCTTCATTTTCCGATTGGGTACAAGAATTCCATAGTTCACCACTCTAACACTAAAAAATGAGTCTGTACTCTCTAAGAATTTAACAAAGCTCATAATTCTGTTATGGGATGAAACCTTAAAGACAGTAAGAGCCTCAGCTTAGCTTCAGAACAAACCAGACCTTTCTGTGAGCACTGTATTACCGCAAAATGCAATAAAAACTAAGAATTAAACAGATAGCACTGAAAAGGATCTTCTCTTAAATATGGTATATAAAATTCACTATTTACCATTACCAGTATTAGAGAAGATGCTGTGGAAATGTCACAGAACCTGCGCTCTGCACATGACAGCGCAAGGAGGAAGCTCAGCTCAGGTTTGTCACATAGTCCCTCTGTCCACAAGCTGGAACCTGCAGTAAATGTAACACCAGACGGGGTTTGTGGTCCAGACTCCTCTCATCCCCCTCTACCTGGAGATTATCAAGCCATTCCTCCAGATAGTGGAAGAATATCTGATCCCCGACACCACTGACCGCTCGTGTCAGCTCACCTGGGAGAGCCCTCCTGACACACCTGCTCTGAGCCGCTTTGGGCAGCCATGATGGTCAACAGACACCCAGACAGTTAAAAGCACCAATGCTTAGTATTAAAACAACCAGGATTCCCTGAGCTGCAGCACACAACTGGCTGACCAAATGTTGATTTTAAATGATAAAAAATAAACCACTTAAGAATGAAATGACTTCAAACCCCAGACCAACAGATTTTTGACAGTGTGCCCAGTCGAAGAGGACCCGTGACCCGAACCGCTGATATAGTCAGCCTAAATCTAAAAAAAAAAAAAACGCTTAGTCATGGTTAGAAGATGGACACATTCTGTTCTCCAGTTGGCGGATGTAGCTTTCATTTTCCTGTACTGCCTGAATCCGTGCGCATCAAAACCCAGCGCACCAGAAGTGATGTCATAGGGCCGCGGCAGTCAAGTCAAAGCCTGTCGATGCCCGAAAGCCTCTTTACTGTGACAGAGCCTGCTGCTCTCTGGCTTCCGAACGACGACGCGCGCCTCGCTGTCTTACCCACAACCAGTCCGCACTCGGGGCAGATCATGTCTCCGGCCCGGTAGTCCTCCACCAGCATGGCATCGGGGTGGTTGGGGCACTGGACCTTGGGAAGGGCATCTCCACTGCGGAGAAGCAACCACATGTCAGACCAACAGAGAACCCGCTGGAACACGCCGTTACCGCATGTAGCAGCACCGCCACAGCCAGAACATTTCAACACGCAGTGGTCTAGCAGGTCTTCAACAGGGAACACTTCTGTCCCTGCCCACTAACGAAGAGCGACAGGGTAGCATTGCCTTGAGACGGAGGTTATGACAGGAAATTCCAGGGAAACTTCCAGGTAGCAAACGGACCTCAGTGCTCGGCCAGGTGTACCTGCGCAGGATTGACCGCCGACTTCCCAGTTCGGTCAGAGGCGACGGTGCTGGAGTTCAGCGCAAGTCTGATAGAGGCCCAACTGTACAGCACCAACTTGTAAATGAGGCCGAAATTATAAACGCTTTTGAAAAACTTCAAGATGCTGTGCCAGAAACGAAACGTAAGTAGCTTAATTTTTGAAGTTTTGTTGTGAAAACCATTCTATTGAAGTTCAAGAAGGTGCACGAGCTGCACGAAAAACTTGGACACAGGGTTTCTATAAAGAAACTTTTAAAATGATTCCTGACGCATGCTGCCAGTATACGAAGTCTTTTAGCTTATTAACAGCTGTACAACTATCTAGAATTATTCTTATCGATGTAAAATGTGTTTCTGATTAAGTGCAAAATCTCATTCCTAACAGTTTGACAGTGATGCAACTAATGTGTCTGGCTCTGCCATCGTGGACTGACTATGAGCTTCATTACTTAGCTGATAAAACAATTACCCTAGTTTCCCTGCAAAATACTCCTAGAACAAAAACTACACAGCATGGCTTTCAAAGTACACTGTGTCCTACTGCAGATCAGAAAGCCAGATATGACCAGAGAATTGTTTAGCAGCAAACCTTTGGAAGAACTTCAGAGCCGATTATATTGTCCGTGTTGTTTTTTGTAAACATGCTGGCTAACCCAGATGATAGTTACAGGCTTTGTAACAGCGGGAGTCCTATCAAAGGACGACTAGTGTAACAATGACACACAAACAGGTGAGAATAAGGTCTATGAAATCGACAAGTAGTGGAACAAACTGTTCCAAACCTCCATGCTATTTAAACCAAGCGCAGGGCGTACAGTTCCAAGACAATTCGTCCCATATTTTCACTTCTGCACATCCATCCATGTTTTAACCACTTTATCCAAGACAGGCTGGCAGGGCAGCCGAAGGCTATCCCAGCAAGCAACAGGCACAAGGCCGGATACACCCTAGACGAGACGCCAGTTTTACTCAAAAGCCAATTAACCTACCAGCATGGCTTTGGACTGTGGGACGAAATCCACATGAACACGGGGAGAACATACAGACTCCACACAGACAGCAGCCCGGGGCCCCAGCACCGCTGTCCACTGCGCCTCCGTGGCTTTTACTTCTGAGGTTTCCAAAACCCACACTGCTGCGTAGCGCCGTGCATCGTGAATAAGAACGGAATGGAAAGAGCTCACGTTCCGTGTTTGAACCGAAGCCTCCCTCTCGTGAATAAGCTCAAGCTAGAAATATGCTCTTTCCCGAAACTATAAAACACGTCTGATACTAGAGAACACCTGCCGTCAAAGCAGGTCAGAAGTGAAACACAGGGGCACCGAGAGCGCTGGCGGGGGGGTGTCTGTACAGCGGCGGTGTGCTGGGGGGGGGGTGAGTGGGGCCCTGTCGGTACATCAGCTCCGGTTTCGATTCTGTCATCGCTCTCCGCTCCCCCAACTCGCACCCCCGCCGGTCATCTCACCGCACTGACAGCCGGACAGCCTGCCCGAGAGTGAAATCAACGCGCATCCCGGGCAGCCGCGGTGCGCACCACGCAGGCAAGCCAGACAATAGGCGAGCCGACGCGCACGGAGGGCAAGGCAGAGATTAAGCCAACGCGCCTCAATCCCGCTCGCCACGCAGTTTCGACCAAGCACCCCCGTGTGCGCGCCCACGCACACGCCGGGTCCCACGGGCAGGTTTGTTTCAGACACAAAGAGGGGATCAAGCGGCCCCGGCGAGTCTGCTGACTGTTCACGGCGCCCGCAACACGCCTCCGGCTCACCCCGAAACGCAGAAAAAACACCCAGTACCGCCGGCCCCCCGTTAATGGCACCCCTTCCAAGCTTGTTTTCGATACTTTTATCTTCCCCCCCGCCCCTGTCTTGTTTACCGCACAAGACCTTAGAAACAACAGAAACGTATGATTAAAAAATACCAACCGGCTAGTAGACGCCATATTGCCTTCAGTCGAGCTCACCAACAGCGACTGCGGACACGCACTGCGCCCCACCTCTATTTATAGCTTCGCTCGTCACGTGCCCGAGAGCGTACGGGCAGCCGAGAGGCCCAAACTTCATACACGTCCTTAATCACTCCCTTTGTCGTGCAAATTTCCAAATAAAAAAAAAACATCATAATTGAAGTTTCAATACCACTTCCATTTGCATGTAATACAAATCTGAGACTTTAAACTCCAAATGCACGTCATGAATCCTGCGCCATTTTACCACTTTGACTTTTACGGAATGACAAGCGGTAGGCATACAATGAAGGTTTTTCATTTCGTACGTGAATAAAAATCTTTATTTTTTTTCATTTTTTACCGCATTTTGTCCAAAGTACATTAACTACTTTAATTTATTTGACGCAGACAATACGATCAAGTACGCTGCTTTGACTTTCGAGCGACTTTCTAAAAGGCAATAGAAAGATAAAAATAACGAATGGAACGATTAAAATAATTCGCAGACACAGCTAAAAAAAAACAAACTTTGACAATAAAAACTTCATAACGAGCAGAAATTATTTTTCACTTGCATAGATTTAGTCAGGGTAGAGAAGGTTTTAAGAAAAAAGATTTCAAATATCAAAATACTCCGAAGGTCCAGGCGGAGGTCTGTTCCTGCGCCTCGAGCCTTCTCAGAGCTCAACACGTTTCAGCTCCGTCGGCGCACAGACTCAAAGACACGGCAGGAGCGACACATTTCAAACCCCCTCGCTGCCCAAACCGTATCTACGGTCCTTCTCTTCCTGAATGCAGAGGCGGAGCGGTGGCTCTGTGGCTCAGGATCTGCGCCTGTGGCTGGAAGGTTGCCGGTTCGTATCCTGCGGCCAGCAGAGAAATCCTACTCTGTTGGGCCCCTGAGCGAGGCCCTTCACCCCAGCTGCTCCAGGGGCGCCGTATAAATGGCTGACCCCCAGCTTCTCTCCCTGTCCATCTGTCTGTGTCTCATGTGAAAAGAAATTCCTGATGCAAGAAATTGTATATGGCTAATAAAGTGGTCTTATCCAACTCCAACAAGCTTTTCGTAAAATTTAATTTAATCAGTCTCTCATAATAAGATTGCTGTGATAATTGTGTAAATAACTCTGAACTGACGTTTCTTTTTATTTCCCATTTTTAGGAACAGGAAAGCATTTCAACACATTCTTAGTTTCCGACAGAAAAGACCTGTATATTAAATGTCCTTTAAACGGCATGAGGGTGAGATACGAGCTCCTCTCCAGGAGAAAACCACCTCACAGGACAGAGATAACTGCAGGGACCTTGAGGAGAAGACAGGGGAAATGCCGAACGCAGGATAATAAAAGACTTTAAGTAGCACTTGCAGGAAAAAATGCTTTAATGGTATAATGGAAAAGGCCACTGCATCACACAGAAATACTCAAACCATCACGGTAATAAACTTGGTGATGCAAAACAGCAATACTGAAATGTTTCAATTAGCTCAAATTCAACGCATCATCAAATTCAAAACGTAACATTCCCTGCAAGATAGCTAACACGGCGCCGGGCCAGGGCCAGGGCCAGGTCTTCACTATCAGACAGGCGCCGCTCTGTTCCAGTTCTTAAGAATCTCCTCTGCTGCATCTAACGTGTCGTCTCGCTGCAAAATAAGGGAAAACAAAAAGTCAGCGCAATGCTCAAACTCTACAAAACTCGCCAGCGGGATCAGTATCCATTAATTTCAAGCTGGCCTAAACGGATAACTGGAATTCAGGTGATCAGCTGTACTGTGTCAGTCATATTCAATACAACTGGCCTGGGCCTGAAGTCCTGACAAGCCATGAGCAGGGCCACCATTCTGGTGTCCCCCAATAAGAAGAAATACGGCCATCATGAAGGTCACTCAGCTTTGATTTGCCGTTTTACACACGGCACGTTTATTGTGCTTAAACTGCCTGCACACAGCAGCCTTTACCATTGCTACCATTTGCCTTCAGACAAAAACAAGTTCCTGTCTTGGCATTTGCCTTTAACGTTTTTTCAAACCTTTTTTAAACAGAAGCCTGTTTAAATTTAAGTTCATCCTACAAGAGAGGTATGACCGTGAGAAAGCAAGGCCTTGTCTCGTCTTGCTCGGCCACCCTCAGGGAAACTCCCACTGCCCACAGGCCAGTCTCAGCCCGGCCACAGGAGACCACGCCAGGCAGCCCATCGCCTGCAGGACAGGCGTGCTGCCAGCAGGGGGAGACTTGCTCGGGACACCCAGGGAAAGATGCCTTCATAAAGGCAGAAAAGCAGCAGGCTACCTTGATGAAACAGAATCGGATGTATTTTTCAAACTGCTTCTTAGACTCTTCTCCACAGAAGGCAGTCATTGGAATAGCTGCGAGTTTCTGGAAGAGAAAAGAAAAAAAAGTCCAGAAGGGCCCCAGGTTTCTGTGACTCCAATAACATCCTAATTGCCTGCTCATGCGGTAGGGTCTGCCTCATCCGATTTGTTTTGGGTATGGGCACTCACTGCCGCTGTGGAAAACTCCCACAAAGCACACACTCAGCACTCCCCAAGCACAGCAGGAGGAAAGAGCTGTACCTTTTCCTTGATCATCCACTTCACAAACTTGTAGTCGTACGGCTCGTCGTCTCCTGCGTGAGACAGGTCCACGTCTGCGCAGACAGAAAACATTGTCACGCTCGGACACAGGCTCTGCAGTGCTCAGAATCCACCAGACGGCTCACGGACAAGAGGAAGTCATGCAGGCCATTTCTCTCTAGTGTATCGCGTTTAAGGCGAACGGTCATTGTGCAGAGCACATTCCTCACACCAATTTCTTTACACTTCCATACTCTTGGACTACTTTTCTGCACACTTCTACCCTCCCACGCTGTGAGCAGGAATGCTGGACGGGCAAGGGAAGTCAGGAACTAGAGCCCTGGTGGTGCTGTGATGTGCTCTCCATGCTCGATACAGATTAGCCGTCTGTCCCAGCCCTCGGACCACAAGTACAGTTTTTAACTCTGGGAAAAAATCACTATGCTACTTATTAAAATTAAAACAAAACCCTTCATCACTACACTACACTGACAACAGAACACAAGTTGCTGTGCATTACTGTTCCTTCAATGTGTAGAATAAGGAGTCCTGTTTGATGTGAACAAAGTCAGTGTTGTGACACAGTCCTGTCAGTACGCAGTGTCTTGAACTGCGACAGCTCTTGTCTTTGGTGGACAGAAGAGCTCATTGTCTGTTTTCTTCACACTCATTGCCTTCTGCCGAGATCAGTCTCCCAGCACCACTGGGCTCTTCAGCTCTCGTACCAGGGCCCTGCCTCCCCTCTGTGAGCAAACGCAGTCAGAACAGGGCCCAAACACTGTCATAGCTTTTGTAAGAAGAACAGATTAAAGGCGGCAGTGTGGCCCGTTGTGTTTGCTGCTACTCGTAACCCGTTGGTCTGAGGTTCTCAGCCAGCTGTCCTGTGTCAGAACTGTTGGAATCAGTTTAAATGGGCAAGGGGTTCCAGTTCCAAGCACCCACCACCCTTTGTGTAGAGACGGGTCTCCTGATCTGTGTCCTAAATGCACATAATTTCCACTTGTGTCATAAGATTTTTGATTCACTGCTGATTAAATGTTTTACCCATCACATGTCTAATGTACTATGTAGCTGAGGGGGAAATATGCTAGCAGTGTATGTAATCCAATTCCCTCTTTTCACTCACTAAAAATGACATACAAATATCTGGGAAACGTGTGTGTAAGGGGCTCACACAGACTGCGAGTGCAAGCTCTTTGCCCTAGAGGCACTAGAGGTGAACTCACGGCTCACACCAGGGCCACAGTGACTCACTGGGACAGAGCTCATCCCAGCTCCTGTAGTGTCTACTGGTCTGGAGTGCTGGCGACTTCCCCCAGCACGGGACACTGGTCCATCACAGGGATGACACCCCAGCAGTACCGGTGCCCAGTTATACAGCTGGGAGGACGGGAGAAACTGGGCTAAAGTATCTCACTGAAGGAACAGCAGTGTCTGCAGCAGGGACTCGAACCCACAACCTGTCTGTGATGAGCCCAAAGCCCCCCCCCCCCCATGACGACGTGGACACAGTGGCCCTCACTGATCTGCGGCTATGTGAGCCTGGGACAGTTTTCCAGAAGGGCAGGACACGTTCCCGAAAACCCCGGTGGAACAGCCGACTCACCCAGCGCAGACACGTCCGCGAGCATGAAGTAGCCGCCTTCGGGAACGACGGGTCTCATGCCAGCGGATTCCAGGATCCCGGCCATCCGATCCCTCTTGCCCTCCAGCTCGCGGGCGAGAGAGGAGAAGTAGCAGTCGGGGTCACCCATGCGCTTGAAGTCCAGTAGCAGGCCCTGAGCCACGGCCTCCTGCGGGGCAGACATGGGGCCTTCTCAGTCGCAAGAGCACAAAAATCAGTGCAAGGCCAGATCACTTTCCCCTTCATCCTCCCTCAACTGTCCGACGGGAGCACTGTGGTCATAGGCGGAAACACTGAGCAGAAGTACAATAAAACCGAGAGGAGGAGACGCTTCCCTACACAGAGGGTGGTGGGAGTGTGGAACAAGCTGTCTGGCCAGGTTATTGAAGCTGACTCGACGCAATGGCTGCACGGGATCGATTCCAGTAACTACTAACTGCAATACCACATTGGGCCAGGTGGGCTGAATAGCTCCCCTGATTTATAAACAGTTTTTCTCATGATGCCACTAGGGGAAGAACGACTGAGGGACACGACCTGATTTTCTACAACTCGCTTGGTGTGATGTCTTCAGCGGCTCATCATGCTGTCGGACCAGAACAGAACAGGAGGATCACACAGACCAGTCCTCAGCAGGACGGTTTACATTTCACCTGGCACTTCAGAAGACAGGGTCAGATCCGATCAAGGTAAGGCGACAAATTTTAAACTTGCAAATCACAGATTTATTTTGCAAATGAAGCCTTTGAATTCTGTTCATTAAAAATACCTTCAGTATTAAAACTAAACATTCAGTTTCAAATGTGAAATATAAGATAATGTCACAAACGCAAAAAAAACAGGTTTTACCTGTAAGGGAGTGGGGCAGGTATACAGGGTGTTCTGCATGACTGTCTGAAGATGTTTGATTAGATGTTCTGGACCAATTGACCAGCCAAGCTGAAAACAAAAAAAAGAAAGTCATTTGATCACTCTGAACCTAAACTAAAAGTATATATAAAGTGTATATTTCTAGAAGGGCTGTCTGACAATAGGCAGGTGTCTATCAGAACCTTGTCTCCGTGCACATGGTGGGCTAAATGCGGTCATATTCCAGTCCGTCGGCGCACAGTGATAGTCAGGCAGTACCACTGTCCAGGCTGACCGCAGATCTCTCACCACAGCTGCCTTGAGTCCAGACACACAGCTCACACACTCTGTCTCTTGGACTACTGATGTGGGTCCTGTCTTTATTCTTGCGTAGTGAACATGCACACAACTTGTACACCTCCACACGTTTCTGCCGAACTCAGCTGCTCCCACTAGTGCACGATCAGACCTGGAGCAGAGGGAGCCATCTTCCCAGAACAAACGCACTTCTAGAGCCAGTCAGGCCACGACGGCGGGCAGCTGGGTCACTGTACCTTCCATCCAGTCACGCTGAAGGTCTTCCCCGCACTGCCGATGGTGATGGTTCTGTCCCACATGCCAGGAAGTGCAGCTTTAAAGAAACAACTCCAGGTCAAACTCCAAAACAGTACAAACAGTTTAAATTTTAAGCCAGTCTTAGACTTCCTGATCACATTTTAAAGCCATTAATATTTACTGACGGGAGAGTGCCTTACTGCTTCTTGAACACATCTGGTTGGGAACCGCACAAAAATAAGTATATATTTTATTTTAAAAGAACAACCGATAATGGAAATTTTGGGTTTCAAATATTTGGAATCCATCAGAAATTTAACACAGGACTCTTAAAACTCAAAATATTTTTTTCCAGAATGTTATTTGGAGTGGGAGACTGAGTAAAGGAGACATTTCTGCTTCTTTGTAAAAGCTGTATGTTTTCCCCGATTCCTGCAGAGCTCAGTAAAAACAATTTTGTAGAGGATATGGACAAAATCTTATTATCTACAAATAAAAACTATAAAGCTGAGCACTGGGTCACCAGTAAAAGTAAAAGACATCTGCACAGAATGAGAAAGATATTTCTGCAACGACTCCGATTATGAGCCCACAAGCTGTGCTTGTACTGCAGTCCCGAACGCATTACCGATCTTAATGTGCTCCTGCCCCTTGTACACCAGCCACTCGTACACTTCGTCGCTGAAGCACAGCACATCGTGCTGGACACACAGGTGGGCAATCATCTGCAGCTCCTGCTTGCTGAAGACCTGCGAACACAACCGGGGGAGCGCTCAGAGTCTCGGTCAGGGGTCCCCAGTCCGGACTCCGGAGAGCCCCTGTCCAGTTAATCTCGCAGGTCACCCTAAATCGCCTGTTCTTAAGAGATTAGGAACCCATGTTTAAGCAACTGATCAACTGGTCCCGAAGCTGAAGAGAGCGGAAGGATACTTCAATCTTTTCTTCCAAATGATCTTTAAAGTACTTCAGCTGATCCTAGATCAACTGCCCCAGGCCTTTCGAGATTGAGGATACCTGCAGGACGGGGGGCTGTCCGGGACCAGGGCCAGTCTGCGAGAGTGGAAAGGGGCAGAGCTCTCACCTTTCCCAAGGGGTTGTGAGGTGTGTTGACGATGATGGCTTTGGTCTTCGAGCTGAATTTGCTCGCGAGCTCTTCTGGGTCGAGCACCCAGTCTGCACTGGTGATAGCAGAGCCCTCAGACGTTTTCTGGTGTTTAAAAACAGCACAGCAACGTGGAAAGAATCATCAGTTTTGTATTTTAAGGTCCTTTACATCCAACAAAAGGCATGAGCTACTATAAGCACATGAACTGCATACAAGCTATCAGGAGGTACCTTATCTAGTACTGAGCCCTAACAGCTAGACCCAAGTACTAAAGGTGTTCTGCACAGATACAGTAACTCATAATCTACTGCACATCTGACTTGTTCAAATTCAAAGCATGTCGGACTCCACTGTACGTGAGGCGAGCTCCCTAAGGGAAAACAAGAGCATTCCTGACAATTTTAAAACAAACCACAAATGTTACACACATCCCTTGGCACACAGTGTGCAGATCCCCAGACAGATTAGACGGATTTGCTTCTTTCTACATGAACATACAATGATCAGACTCACAAGCCTTAGCGGTATCAGGATGGGCTTTGCTCCGGCCATTCGGACCATGGGCACGTAACAGTCAAAGAAGGGCTCCATGATGATCACCTGCAACAGCGAGAGAACCCGGGCTTTGTGGGACGTCGGGGGGAGTCGTCAGGAGCGGCGACAGTCCGGCCAGGGGGACACTCACCTCGTCTCCTTCCTCCACCAGCGCCTGCATGGTGCCGAACAGAGACCCGTAGGCCCCCACCGTCACCAGGACCTCCTTCAGTGGGTCCACCTGGCGGCCGCACACCGCGCCGTACACCTGCGACAGCGCCTTCACTAAAGAGGGGTGCCCCTGCCGGGAGAACAAGGGGGCGAGCTGAGCACCGCCTCTCAGCGGGTACAGCGCCAACAAACGGCCTCCGCCAGCCTCCTGCCGGCCCTCAAGCTGCGGGAGACGCACCGGCGCTCGACCCAGCATGAAGCCTGCAGGCAGACCTGCGTCTCACGGGCTGCAGCAGGAGAGCCGTCGGCTCCAGGAGCACGGCCACGCTGCCCGACGCGTTCCCCACCACGGCCCACTCCAGACGTTTCACTGAACACAACAGCCACATGTCTACTGCATCTGTGGACACGTACAGCCAAACACTGGATCATGCACAAGTCTGTGAAAGTGATCCACGACTTTGGACAAACAAACAAACTTGCCTACTAATTAAGAAGAGTGCGTGTCTTCCGGAGGGACGAGAGGCGGCAATCTTCCCCAGCCCCCCCACCCCAGCGTGCCCCGACGCCCCAGCGCCCTTACAAAGCCCCGGGTGTACTGGTTGAGCCTGTCCACGGACACCGCCCTGGCCAGCGCCTCCGTGACGTAGGGGGGAGGGGGGAGATCCGGGAAGCCCTGCCCCAGGTTGACGATGGAGGGGTCAGCAGCCACAGCGGAAAAGGTCACCCTGCGGACAGACAGACAGACGGACAGACAGACACACGTCACTCGGGTCTAGGGCGCTGTGCTCCACACAACCGAGGCCGAGCCCCGAGATCGAATCCCCAGCTCAGGCGCCCTTTAACCCTGCAGCCCTGTGAGATCGCTTCCTGCGCCCTGGGTTGTGATGCGCATGGATTCAGGCTCACTGCAGCACAGGAGCATGAAAGCTCCACCCGCCACTAAGACAGACCAAGAATAGTGGCGAGACAATGGCATTCTTCGAAGCCGTAGTGTTCAGCAGATCTTTTCTCTCTTTGGTAGCTTTTCAAAACTTTGCTCCGGTGAAATAAGTATCAAAGAAATCCTCAGACACAACTGACTGGTTGATGTACAGAACTGACACCTTTCAGCTCTCAGGGGGATCTCCACTGTACTTACCATATGTTTTTATCGAGGCCTTGGATTCTTTTGGTATTTTTGTGCCTGAACGAAGTCATCTAAAGTTTAAGGGAGAAAAGTAGAATCAGAAATGAGGTTTTCTCAATCATTGACTCAAAACATAAAATACATTTTTTTTGTACATTACAGACATATTTAAACCTCTTTGATGTAAAGAAAGTCAAAAGACAAGGCATGAAAGTATGGCAGACACATGAACACATGGTATGTCCTCTGGCTCCATTTAAGTCTTGACATTGCTTGAAGGAGGTACTGTAACTAAACAAGAATGTTGTCTCCTATTTTTGAACAGTGTAAGACAAAGACTCACTTGAGAAGTAGACAGGCACTGACGTCTCCAGGAGATTGTTCTCGGCAAGCTACACACAGCAGGACAGCAGCTGAGGGCGTGGCGCAAGTTCATATCTGCAGCAGACACATGCCCCGCTCTGTCATTTTCACGCCTATAATATTTTGAGTTAAAGCTAACTATACATTTGAATTTAAAATACTGGTTAAAATCACATTGATTAATATTATTTAATCTTTAGGCACAATGGTCATGCCTGTATTTGGATTATTTTTAAAGCAATACACAAGATAAACAGGTTGCTTATACACACTCCGATGTCAATTCCGGTACAAAAGGCTTAACTGGTGTATACTGGTGACCAGTAGCTTGTAGCTCAGTGAGTTTTAAAACCCAGTTCTGTAGTCACCATTTTTTTACAGCACCGCGTTTACATCCACAGTTACATACCACACTACTGATAAATCATTACCAGCACACGTTAATGGGTGAGCCATTTTGAACCTCTTACCCCATAATAATAATAGTCCATTCAGACCATCGGAAATCAGTTACCGGAACCAGCTGGAATTTCAACCAGGACAGAACTGACCTAACACAAATCTAAAGTAAAAACATTAAACATTTCTAGAGCTGCTGTGACCGCTGGTCCGCACACACTGAGATCATCAGAACAGAACCGGGCTTGGAGACTGCACTGCCGAGCACAGCGACAGCACCGTGTGGGTTAAAAAACTGCGATACGGGGGAGATAGCTTTTACTCCTGACGTCTAGGCTTTGTCGAATTACACACTGTACACTGAAAGACGGGGTTTAAACCAGTTTAAACTCCAGACACCTCACCCTCCAGATGCCCCTCCTGGCTGCACAACCATGCAAGATCGCGGCACAGCAAGAGACCCGACCCCGATCACTACCTCTCAGGGCTGTAAAATGGCAACACCGCTTTTCAGGTGTTCACTGTTTTCAAGTGTAGGTGTCTCTCCACCGGGCACAGTCACTCCCCCTCGGCCCGTCCAACCAGAGCCGAGCCGCAGCGGTGCAGATTTTATTGCGCGTCTGCGCAGATCGGGCGAGGCGCTGCGCAGCTGCTGCAGGTCGCTGCGGCCCTTGAGCCAACAGGGCGACGCAAACGCTTCAGCAAAAACGTGATCCGCGCCGACGTACCCTCAACCATGCACAGCCGCACCAACTATACATTAAGGACCCTCAATTGCATCGTAGGTTTCCACTTTTTTCGTCTGCCCGGTGTACAGCTAAGCACATAAAACACATTTATTTATGCCTGAAAAAAGTATGTGAACCTTTATAAGCAGATAATGGACTAGAATTTCCTGGTCACAGTAACTTCAAGAGTTTCAAGCACGTCGATCTCCGACCAAAGTAATATGAGGATTAAATCTCAGTCCTACTAGCTGCTTCCATTATGCATAAACTGCGCAGAAACTGCAGATATTCTGCTCTTCCCATCTGTAGATTGACTAAAGCACTTTCGCGCAATTTATTTTCAGTTTTAATTTTGTTTCTGTAGCTTCCCCTGTTGCGGGAGGAGCCGGTGAAGTGGTGGCACGCAGAGGCATAAATTTGTGATGAGGAACGGCGGCTGGCTGGCAGGTTGCGGGAGAGACCTCGTTGTTGCACTCTTGAGGAAAGTACTGCACCCAAATTTCATCTGTCCCCTTTCTTTTCGCTTTAACCCATTCCGAGCCGCCGGGGTACGGTGGCCCAGACGTGCCATTACAAAACACGCAACACACAAGAATGAGAAACAAAAAAAACCGTACACAACACAAACAAAAATGAGTGCACACACAAAAGTGTGTTCAAAAGGGAAACAGGTTCTCGCAACAGTCATGACATCTGTTGTTAGGCGAGAGGGGAGGCGACACTGTGAGCAAATCTATAATTTATCTGGGCCATACTAAAGGTTCATATAAATATTTATATGTACAGAATTTTCAAAAATAGTAACGCCATAATTTAATTTCAAATACGGAAGTTACATATTTACATTTGTAAATGTAAACTACTGAAGGTTTTAGAGTGGGACACTCGCATATAAAACTATATATAATGTGCTCACAGACGAGAGCAGGCTAGGAATTGAACCCAGGCCCACAACACTACCACCATCGCCACCTTTTCAGTAGTCGTATTTTTTAAGCTGTCCTGCAATAATTAATAACACAAAACAAGACGTTGCTTATGCATTGCATGGTAACAAATGCGTCCAATCTGCTTTTCGATTTTTCTGTCTCCACTGGAAAAACAAAACCCCAAAACAAAGCACCTATTACTTAGGAAAATTTTACGGATCAACTCTGTAACATAAAAAAAACTTACAATGCTGAATGTGTGCAGGGCTCTTCGATGTCCTGAGAGAGATGTGTGTGTCAGTCACAAGGGACTCTAATGGTGTTAAAGAGGCACTACATGTAGCACAAACGTGTAGCTCAAACTGTGCTTTGGACCCATGGGGTCATTACCCTCCTGAAATATTGTGAAACCCTGCACATTTGTAAAAACGGCCACGATCAAGACTTTGACCAGCCTAAGGCATAGAAACACCCAAACCAAGCGGAAATAATATATCTTTCACGAATGCGTCGTGAATAACTTCTTCCCTTTCGACAGAGGGTTTGTGAAAACGTGGGAGATCCCGTGTTCAAGGCGAGCAGGAGCCGCTTGAGCGGGACAGCGCGGAGCGGGGCGTTCACAAGCGCACCAGCAGGGGGCGCCAGCTCCATGGAAACGCACAACCCGGCCCCATCCGAGCAGTTGGCGAGAGACAATATTCTAACCGAGTGCAGCGGCTATGCCGACAAGGACTTTTACATATTACAAATGAACAGTTCCGCAGAGAACGTATAGATGATATGTTTTAAATGAGCGCATTAATAAACTACAGACCAAAGCCTGCATGTAAAGATTTGTGATTGATTCCACCGCAGCGCCAGTGACCTGTTTTGTGTGACTTGACTTAGATTGCTTACATTTAAGGTTTCCTGTTACGCACAGTAAAACCCAAAATATTCTTTTGACGAATGAGGCCAACGGATCGCGTCTTCTCAACCTTCAGAGTTCATCCCTCCGCTCCGAGGGCGTTTCTATTTCCATTGTGTCTGGGAAGTTAAGGGGTGGGGAACGTTTCAATCTGAGAATATGGGCGGGTCCTAATTAGCACTGGGCATGTTTCTTTGGCCAAGCTGCGCCTCCTGAAGTTCGCTAACATAATAAAATACGGCCTAGTCTGTAACGAAGGTGCCCAATTAAACAGTTTAATAATAATAATAATAATTGCTCACACACATATAGCGCTTTTCTGGACACTCCAGGTGTTGGGGACTCCCCTCCACCACCACCACCAATGTGCAGCACCACCATTAAGTCGTTTTTTCGTAGTAATATAATATATAAGTCCACACCTGGATGTTTTTTTAATACCAAGTGAAACAGGTTTGTAGGTGGAAGGTGTTCAACACAGATATTTTGAAGTTCCTAGCTAACCCTTTATATTGTATTGGACTGTCCACTAACACAAAATATGCTGCAGTCATTAGAAATGTGTTGTTTATATCAACAGAGTGATGATGTCAAATACTTTAGCAATTAATGTAGGCTAATGCAACTGAGTCGTATGGGGCCACAATCTATCAGAAATATGATAAATGAAAAGGTTGTCATTTAAACCCCTTTAGTACTAACGCATAGACAGGATTAAGCTGGTATCAGCCAATAGGAATAACTGTCCATAACATGTCGAACATTTCTGTTCATTATGGAAATTTGCAAACACAGATTCTACACCACTTCTAGCAGTAGCACAACTCTGCAAACATAGTGCACAATGCACAACACGGGCTTAATATTTAAAGACAATGAGCCCACAGTGCAACCTAGACCGCAGTTTAAATCGTAAACACAGACCTTCCTTGTATCCCAGAGAGGACAAAATCCTAACAAGCAAAACCAGAAAACATTAATCCAAATAAGCTTTAGTAACATCATTGAAAATTACTGGAGACCTAACTTTGATTCCATATCTGGGGAAGATTATGGTCTGAAACAAATATGTATACTGAATTCCACATTAACATTTTAATAAATAAAACATCTCACCAATAATTAATTTTCTCCCCATGCAGCCATCTTTATTTATTGCTGTGCAATTTACATCGTATTAACAATTTAACTGGCAAATCTGGTGCTTAATGCTTTGCACTAAGCTTTGTTTTTAATTAAATGTGCGAGGGATCTCAGTTTCTGTCGTATCCCCTGCTGAGCACAAATAGTCATATTAGAGAGAGCTTTTCACATTCACCAACCATTTAACTAAATTAACTAGCTATTACAGGATTATATTACAGGTTTTACTGGGAAATTAAATAAGGAGAATACAACTGGAAAAAACCTTGTGCTGAAGAGGTTTAGCATAGCAGGCCTGACATGTTTTTCACATCCCATCCTTATCATTTTTAAAGTGCAGAATTGAGAAGAAACCTTTTCTGGGCTCATCTGTGTCATCTGTAATGGTGAACAGCAGAGCTAGATAGGGGAAGGAAGATTATTAATGCAAAGAATATAAATAAAGTCTGGGAATTTGATCACAGCCTGTAGATCATGGATTTTTAATGAATCTATAGGACATCTTAAGTCAGAATGGGCCACTAGAAACTACATTTATGAGGCACATCAGGGACAGAATCTGGGCAGAAAGGTCTCCAATGCCCAGGATATCCATTTTCAACAAGAGTTCAGAACAAAGTATTAATTAGAACACAAACAGAATAGTAGTTATTCACGTTGTAAGAAATATATGTCATTAATAAACTGTAACAAAAAGCATTCATCAATAGAGATACACATTGCAAACAACACATTGAATCTTTGAATTGCACATCATTTTGCCCTCTTCGTTAAAACAGATTTTAAAACAGGAATTCTAGTGATTGTTTCCCACAGTTTACAAGAGCCAGAAAATGGAGGTTCAGAACGTGTGTTTAATTGTAATTCAAAAGCACACAGTCTGGTGTTGGACCCAATTTCTCTGGATTTCTCTATGCAATTTTACTCAGGTTAGTTGTCTGAAAGCTAACAAAACTGCTCAATCCTCAGCATCCTCATTTGAAAATCACATTACGAAATCCCGTGGACCACTTCGTTCAGTGTTTGAGACAGAGCTCAGAAATGTTTCCGACACAAGATCCCCGTTTGTCTTCAGACGTGCTCTGAGCTGTCAGACGCTTCTCACGGATTGTATTGATAATCAGTACATGTTCAAAGTTGTAACCAAGTTAAATGCCCAACTTTTAATTAACTGTCTGTTCTTTAAATTTCATTAACTTACTCATTTATTTATAACCCAAGTTACACATTAAAAATGAATCCTGAAGGATAGGTTTTCTTAGATTATCTCAGCAGCACGCGCCTTTTGGGTCTAATTATCGAAATTAAAGTGAATTTATAATGCTTAGAATTTTTTTTTGCACTGCTCTTGCAATTTAATATTTTATAGTTTTCCACTCCGTTCTGAATTGGAAAATTGCGCTCCGCCGAGACACACTGGCTACAAGCACAAGGAGCAGCCTGCAGCAAAATTCTCTTCTGTTTTTTTAGTTTAAAAAGATTAAATATATTTTTCCTTTTCCCTTTGGTACATTCAGCTACTAAAGCTTATATTTTAATAAATATTGAACATGCGCATTTAAATTCAGCATGTTTTTTTTTCTGTGGCGGCTTGCTCATTTATTTAGCTGTTTTGATTAGAAGCTCAGGGCATTTTTGACCCGTATCCCGCTTTCTCTTCTTTAATAGTTTCCTGTCTAAAGTCACTATCGAGTCTTGGATGACTAGAAAACATAATGAGTAGCTGTACTGATAACAGAAAATGTTCAGCTGTATGTTTAACTTGCGCCAATGCACTGTTGTAACCGTTCTTTTTTTATTTGCAAGTAAGTTATAAGATATGCACCCTAACGGTCAGAAGAAGGACTTCTGAAAGGGAATCAAAATGTACTTTGTTCTTAATTTCTTGTGTTCTGGGTCAATACAGTAGAACACGAGAGTTTAAGCGGGCTGTTGAAATCCACACACAATTACAACCCCAGTGAACAACACTGCTACAGTACTTCTGCCACCGCAAAAATAAATACGATTTTATAAATACAAATATCAGCCAACTTCCCCCAAACTCATTAACCCACAAGTGCTGTCGACATTGTTTTTATTCTGCTGGAAGCTT